TCTGCAACTGCATCCTGGCCCATCCTCACCCTTCTGCCCCCAACCCTCACCTCCTTGTACCCCCAATATGTTTTTCCCAATAAAAAAAAATATTATATAAAAACAAAACAAAACAAAAAACAGACTTTCAAGGGGGAAAAAAAGAGGAATGAACTGGGGGTTTAGAGAAAAGAGTGCAACAATGAATGAATGGAAATCCAAAATCTCTGTAAATGTTCATTAAAATTAATAAAATTTCATAAAAAATGTAAAAAAGAGCCATAACTATTCCCAAATTAGACTTTATCCTGGAATAATGTTTTGCCCTAGAAATACAACTAAATTATCAATGCAAATTGGATTAAGTGAAACAAGGCTTAAGCCAAGAAGGTGGTATCAAAAATTCCAGAGCACCAAAAATATCTCCAAAGGCAACACTGTCAAAGTTAATGAAATAGATTTGTTTTTCCTTTCATCTCAACAGCATCTGTCTCAAGTCAGTCCTTACTCATTGTGATACCATGTGTTTCAGAGAAACAATGTTCTCCAGAGTTTTCAATGGCTGTGATCTTCTGGAAGTAGATGGTCAGGCCTTTCTTCTAAGGTCTCTCTGGGCGGATTTGAACTGCCAACTTTTTGGCTAGCAAAGCATTTCACTGTTCGCACCACCCAGGAACTCTTAAAACGGTACCTGCCACAAAATGAACGCTGTGTTAACTTTTACTATTACTAAGTCTTTATGGTACATTGGCAAAAGCTGAGAAGAAAGTATTTTTAAACAATCCTGAAGGTAAAAATAATGATTTAATACAAAATTTCGAAGAGTGAGTATCATATAAACATCAATTATATACAAAGCATGTAAATGTCTCTCATACATGGGGCAGTTTACAAAGCATTGTCATTCATTTATTCCTTAGGCAGATTCCACTTCCATTTCACCAATGAGGACAATTGGATTAAGTATCAAAACTGGATTAAACAAAAAGGATTAAGTATCAAAGTCATTTTGTTAATTGCTCTTACTCCAAACTACACATCAGACTTTCTGGCTGCTAGACCTCTTGTCCTGCATGATTCTTCTAACTTCTTTTCCAACGATGGGTGAAAGTCATTTGTTCAAAACCGTTAGCAAGTATCTAAAGGAAGAACTGTCTAACAAACCACAGTCTACTAGATTTCAGAAATCTTTTTAAAACATCAAACAGCTGTGGGTACTGGCCACCAGTTTGTACTTCTGGTACCAATCATAACCTAGCTTTCCTTGGCAAGTAAAGAGAGGACGATTTAAAAGGTTCTACGAGTAATGCAGTGGTTAATGTTCCAGCTGCTGACCCCCTCACTAGCTCTCTGTGAAAGACAAGACAGGGAGCTCAGCTCCTAGAATTACAATCGTGCAAACAGCATCGGGTCAGTGGGCGCTGTGCTCTAGCGTCACCACGAACAGTAATGGACTTGAGCGCCCGCAGCATGAGTTATAAAGCAATCAAACACAATATTAAGAGGGAACGAGGAAGGTGCTTCAGAGGCTTGTCCTTAACATCACTTGTTTACTGAGAGTCCCACAAGGAGGATGGTAGGAACTACAGCCGAGAGAACAGAGCATGACAGTGAAAGACAGAGGGATCCGAGGGGAAAAACCAACAACACTCCACAACCAATACGCTTCCTGCCTGACACCCCAGAAATTAGCTGATGAGGAGTTACATTCTGGGGTGACTTAGCACCTTTCAAATCGGGCCTACACAAGCGTGAACTAAGACCAGGGAATGGGGCTCATAGGAAGGAGACAGTGATCTATCTATAGGGCGAAATTCGTAGAAGCCACGGCTCTAACGACAGGTCCTGGAGCATCCATGGTAGAAGAAATGTGTCATCGCGGCTTAGCACTCAGAACCAAACATCGGGGCTCCCTTGCAGTCCCAATCTGGACTAGACGCCGGTTCTCAGGCTAGGGGTCGCCCCAAAACGAAAAAGAGAGCCAGGCCTCCGGGAATAGGACATCTTAAAAAAAAAAAGGGAGGGGGGAACAGCAAGATGCGGCGAGGGTGTATGCGGCTAAATATGCGTCCCAACGGGTTGGGACACCCTCACCTCTTCCTCACCGAGCCCTCCTCTGAGGGCAGCGCCAACCTCTGCCACCGCAGGACCTGCCCTCCCGGTCAGGCTATGCGGCATAGAGAAAGGGCGGAAGGAGAAAGTCGAGAGGACAGGGTTAAATATAGCGGCCGCAGAGCATTCTGGAAGTTGTTGTTTCTCCAGCCTCGGCCATCAGGGGCCGTCGGGACAAGCTCCGGAGGTTGTGGACTACAATCCCCAGAAACCCCAGCGTGCAGGGCCCAGATTGTTTCCTTTACTTTCCGCCCGACCTTCCGCGGTTATCTGCGGATCCCGCAGTGAGACTACAACTCCCATGAGGCTTAGCAGGTCCAATTTAGGACCAGAGAAACAATGAGACCTATTCTTTGTGTCCTTAACGGGTGAAGGATCATCAGATGAGGAGTTACCTTTTTAGTTTCCTTGGGCACAAGCTGAGAGACTTGAAAGAACTTTGAAACGGGCGGAACTTGCCATCCCGGCGACTTGGAACGGAAGTAGCCGGTGGCGGTGGTGGGGAGGAGCCGGAAGTAAGCCCGGGAGGGGGTGAGGGGTGGAGGGAAAAGCAAGCCAGGAGGTTGTGCGGCCGCTTCTAGTAGTTTCCAGGCGCTGCCGGGCGGCTGGGACCAGGCGGTCCTGAGGCTGTGGCTGCTCGGGAGTCTGTGGCGGCGCGATCAGGGAACCGATGGCCAAGTGGGGTGAAGGCGACCCACGCTGGATCGTGGAGGAGCGGGCGGACGCCACCAACGTCAACAACTGGCATTGGTGAGGGTCACCAGGGCAGGCCGCGGGAGCGCTGTGGTCGGACCGCTTTTCGGGGTACCTGTACCCCGGCTTGTACAGATCCGAGCCATGGGCATGGGAAGTCCCCACTGAAGGCGGAGTAGGTCCTTTCTGGGGCAGGGATTCGGAGCCCCGAGCACCCTCACCCCTTTTTGTTGGTGTTATTCTTAGTGTTATGGGGAGGGGGGTGGCGACGTGGAGCGGCTGCACCCCAAAGGGAGATTCAGAAATACGAGAATATAACCTTCTAGCTGCTGCGTGGGTCCTGAGCATAGATAGTCTTTTTACACGTGGCCAGAGGAGTCATTGAGCCCCAGAGAAGTGCTAGCTTGGATTGTGTTGGAGGTGGCTTGCTCTGGAAGGCTCGAGACCAGGAGTATTTCCTCTTAGGTGGCTTAAGTGCACAATTAAAAGTCAAAGCGAACTGCCCCGTCGGTCCTGTGGGCTAAGGTTTGGAGTGCCCTGCAGGTGCTCGGAGCTCGGGGATGCTGAAGCCGCTGCGGACTCTCACCCGGAACTATTAGAAGGGCTGGGCTGCAACTTTAGGAGCTGCCCTATCGTTGCCGGGCAATCATGATTTTATAACCTCACCTTCTGTCCGACTTGAAATGTTCCAGAAAGAAGAATTCCTTATCTTTAACCTCCCATGAACTTTATTCGTGGTGTGATGTATACTGTATCTTTTACTTTGTACGCGTTGTCTTCTCTACTAGATTGTAAATTGAAAGGCGCATTATCTCCGTTGTTATCATCCCGCAGATACGGAGAGTGCTTAATTTTGTTTGTGTTGATGGTTTTGAGGGTACCGAAGGTGTAGGGTGTTTGTAGCACAGCCTGAATTTGGGCGGTTGTAACCCAGTGCTAATGAGGTCAAGGTTATTGTTTCATTCCATATTGGACCTTTTCGCTTAGTGCTCTCTCCTGATCTCAGCAAGATCGACACCGCTCTCTACTTGGCCACACGGATGCCCCATATAAAGTGGCAAATAATGACCCAAGCACCGTCCTACTGAAAAAAGAAAAACACACTTTTCCATTTAGTTTGTACCATCGTATTGCTAGTTGGCTTAATAGTTGTTCCTGTTCTCCTTCCTAAAGGGGGGGAAAAACTGTTTTCAGGTGGAGTTAGTGGAACTGAGGGTTAGTATGGCAATACCTTGCATAGAGCAGGTGGTATATCTTCCCTTTCATTGCTGTGTTTCTGTTTTGCAGGACCGAGAGGGATGCTTCAAATTGGTCCACAGATAAGCTGAAAACCCTTTTCTTGGCAGTGCGCTTGCAAAATGAGGAAGGCAAGTGCGAAGTGACAGAAGTGAGTAAGCTTGATGGAGAAGCATCCATCAATAACCGAAAAGGCAAGCTTATCTTCTTTTATGAATGGAGCATCAAGCTAAACTGGACAGGTGAGTCCTTGCTATACTGTTAGGCAAAGAGTGATCTGTATTTTGATTGACCAGGAGTCAAGGAAAACAGTTTTAGAGGTTATGAACGCCATACAAGGGAGAACACGGGACAGTGCTGCCTTAAAGACCTGCCGTTCTGGGTGTTGACATTTCCCCCCCTGTCAGTGGGTGTCCTCATTGGACCTCACAGGCTCCACCAGTCAAGTGGCTACACTGTTAGGGCAAGTTTGAGGTCTTCATCTTTTGTTACCCCTCTACAGTGTTAATGATGCTTATGTATAAATATAATTTAATTTGAGCTTTTAAAAAGTTTTTCTACTTCCCTTTCCTTTCAGTCAGAAAAGAAATAGGAACTGTGTTTGTGTCCCCTTTGGTGGTCTTTCCAGCTGTGAGACTGTTTCTGGTTTTGGTGGTATTTTTTTAAGTAGGGCTTTTTTCTTTTTAAAGTTCTTATTCTGGAAAATTTTTTTTTAAATGGTAAGTTTGGGATTTGATATTCCTTTCTTTTTCTTCTTTTCCTCTTCATATTTTAATTGTGATTTTAAGCTAAGTTTACAGAAAAGTTGGATCTTCATTCATTCATTCATTGCTGCACATTTTCCTCGCTACTTCCATCCCCAGTTCACTTTTTTTAAAAAAATTAATTTGTTGTTGCATAATTTCCTTCTTCGTGTGTGTGTGTGTGTGTGTGTGTGTGTGTGTGTGTCTCCGTCTCCCCACGAGCCAGTTCATTTAACTATGCACCTTATATTCTGGACTGTTGTCATACAAAATAATCTAATCCTATATTCCTTTTAAACAGTTCTTTCTTTTTTTTATATGTTTCAATGTTCTTTATTCCCTCTTTTCTTAGTTTTCCCCCAGCTGCCCCACCACCAACACCATCAACCCTGTTTTGTAACAGTAGTGTTATATGATATTTGTCCTTTTTTTCCTTTTGGGTTGAAATCTTTTTATTTTTTGTATTCTATTTAACTCATTTTTACATCTCTGGGATTTCACAGAAAGCTTACAAATCACACTGATTTTCCAGACAGGTATTTGTCCTTTTGTGACTGAGCTATTTCACTGAGCATAAGGTCTTCCGGGGTCACCCATGTTGTGTACTATTTTATGAATTCCTTGTTTTTCAGTACTGTCTGGTATACTATTGTGTGACTATACCATATTTTTTCTATTCATTCATTGATGGGCAGGCACTTGGGTTGCTTCCATCTGTTATTGTGAATAACACAGCAATAAACATGGGTGTGCATATATCTGTTTGAGTGGCAGCTCTGGTGGTCTTTAAGGTTTATTCCTAGTATTGGGATTGCTAAGTCAAACAGTATTTCTATGTCCAACTTTTTGAGAAAACACCGTAGTACCTTCCCTAGTGGTTGGCACCATATTTTGCACTCCCACCAGCAGTGAGTAAAAGAGTCCCAAGTCTCTCCACAACCTCGCCTGCATTTGTTGTTTGCTGCTCGGCTGAACTTTGCTATAGTTCCTGGGGTGAGATAATAATTCATAGTTGTTTTGATTTGCTTCTTTCTGTGAGCTAGGAATTTTGAACATTCATGTGTTTGCTATCTGAATGTCGTCTATTCATATGATGAAGTGTCTATTCATATGCTGTGCCCATTTTTTTTTTAAGACAACTGTGCCCACTTTGCAATTGGGTTGTTTACCTTTTTTTTGTTGAGGTGCTGGAGTAGTTTAAAAATTTTAGATAGGAGTTTCTTATCAGATATGTCATTATTGTTGTTGTTATTGTTGTTATGTGCCTTTGAGTTACCTGCGACTCATAGCGACCCTATGTACAACAGCCCTAAACCCTGCTCTATCCTGTGCCAATCTCACTGTTTCCAACAAACCCAGCCCCATTACCTCAGTCACTAAATCAATCTACTTCATAGAGGGTCTACCTCTCCTGCACCGTCCCTCTACCCTTCCAAGCATGACATCCTTCTCCAAGACTCGTCCCTGCTTGCAACATGTTCAGAGTATGTCAGACAGAGCTTCAGAATCCTTACCTCCAAGGAGCAGCCCTCTCCAGGATGAACCTTTTCGTTTTCTTAGCAGTCCATGGTATATTCATTACTCTTCTCCGACACCACAGCTCAAAGGCATCAATTCTCCCTAGTCATTTTTCAGCTCTCTGATGCATAGCAAGTGATTGCAGAGACCATGGCCTCTATCAGGCGCCCCTTAGTTTCCAGAGTGACATCATTGCTCTTCAGTACTTTGGAGAAGTCCCTAACAGCAGACTTTCCCATCGCAATACGTGTTTTAATTTCCTGGCTCCTGGTGCCAAGAGTGTTGACCATGGAGCCAAGCAAACGAAAGCTGTGAACAATCTCACTCTCTTCACCATCCATCCTGGTGCTGCCAATTGGCCCAGTGGTGAGACTTTTTGTCTTCTTAATATTGAGCCTTAATCCATATTGAAGGCTACAGCTTGATCATTACCAAAAATTTTTTTTCCAGTCTGTGGTTTTCTTTTTCTCTGTTGGGGAAGTGTTCTGATGTGCGTAGGGATTTGATTCTTAGAAGGTTGCATTCATCTATTTTATTTTCTCCTGGTTGTAGGAGACTGAGTTTTAAAAGATGCTGAAGCACTAAGATCGCTGCTATCTTTTTATGAGGCAAGGCATGAAATAAATTTGTGCTTTTATAAACTTTTTTCTTTTTTAATAAACATTTTTCAATTGGATTTTAATCAGGAAGGAAAAGGTAGATATACTTGTCTGTTACACACACGCAAGAAAAGGATGTTCTTACTTAAAGGTATGCCTAAGGCATGTTGTTGTGTATCGTAGAGTCGGAACAGAACTGATCCTCTGACGGGTTTTCAGAGGCAGTTAATCTCCTGGGAGGAGATTGTCCATTCTTCTCCTGCAGAGTAGCTGATGGCCTTGAACCACCTGCCTTCGAGACTGTAGCGCCGCTCTTTTCCACAAGGCCACCAGAGCTCCCTTCCTAAGGCAAAGTAGTTTAAGAAAATGCAGTAGCATCTCACTCAGTACCCCCTTTTTTTAAAAAAAACAAAACTGAGACCTAGACAAAATGAAAATTAATCATCAAAGTTTTATTGATTAATTTTGAAATACAGCCCATTTATAATGTAACACATTTGTTTCTGGAATCACCATGATATACATGGTGGACACAATATCCAAAATCTTCATTAATGGTTTGTTTGTTGTTGTTTAAATATCAGAACCTAATGAGAAGGGTTGCATAGTTTTATGTGTTAAACGGTAAGAAAGACATAAACTACAGTACATACAAAACTTTACCTTGGAAAAAGACATGAAGTTTATCTTTGCAAGTGGACATTGGAAGGGTTACAGCTCATGAGATGCTATGAGGGGATGGAAGGAAGGTCATCAGAAATTGGAAGGAAAGTTAACACCAAGAGGGTTTCTGTAGCTCAGAATATGCAGTGAACTGATGATGTCAGTAAATGAGAATTCAAAGAATGTATATTTTACACAGCTTCATTCATCTGGGTACAGATTTCTGTGTTCCTCTCATTTTCTCTTAGGTGAAACGGATGGTAATCATACTTGAAATGTGTATTATGCTCACTTTGTTCTTGATGCATCAACCTTGCAGCGTCGAACTTGTGGCTTTAAGACAGAAGAGGGTGAGATGTGCCCTCTCAGGGCCTCCTGACAGAAAGGAGCCTGATGCAGGAGATTGGATTATTGCCAGGACTTGGGCATGGCCTGGTCAGCTGCCGTCTTTGAGCTTGACCCCTGTTTCTGCCTCTGGTTTGGTTGCTGCACAGTGTGCACGCTGCCCAGGTTGTCTAGGAGGGTGATTGAGTTTCTAGTTGAGTGTCAGTCATTCATTTTTCCTATTATTTTTACTATTACTGCAGCTTACTCACACTTTTCAAATTTGAATCTGTGTTCGTGTCACTTTGTCAGCCATAATCGAATTGGGATGAACTGATTCAGAGCTCTTTTTCCTAACAAGTGCCATACAGAACTGAGTAATGGCTTTTGAACCAGTTCCCTGCGGCAGGATTCAAGCTAGTGTGTCACGTCCACGCAGGTCTCAGTCCCACATTGTGAGATCATGTGTGGAAGACATTTTTCTTAGGGGCAGGAGCTGTCTGCACCTGACCTGTGGCATTATCTCAGGAAAGAGGTGGTCAGTCCAGCTCTCTGGTCATGTGAGCTGAGTAGGATTTAGGACTCTAGAGCAGAAGATATTTTCTGCAAAAGAAGGACTAATTGGCCTTGTCTTGCTTTTGGCAGGTACCTCTAAGTCAGGAGTGCAGTACAAGGGACATGTGGAGATCCCCAACTTGTCTGATGAAAACAGTGTGGATGAAGTGGAGGTTTGTGCTTCCTGACTCCTCGCCCGAGTCTTTTTTATGTTCTCTTATTCATGTGAGAAAAATGACCTGTCCTTGAAGATTACAAGTCTGGCACTGGCCCGGGCCTTCAGAAGCCAGCTAGTTTGTGAGATAGACGATGCCCTTAGGAGCTTCCAGCGCAACTTGCACTCGTTTAATTACACCTTGTGTTGGGGGGCGGATGTTCCAGTCCACGTTGGCTGCCTTGCCTGGCGGGGCACACTTGGGAAGGAATCCTGACCCTCATGCAGTTAGTTCCTTTGGGAATATCAGCAGTTCTCCAATTGCTTGGCACCCACATACCACAGTGTGGGGGCCTCTCAAGTTACTAACCACCTCCTTCTGATCTTTCACTCAGATTAGTGTGAGCCTTGCCAAAGATGAGCCTGACACAAATCTCGTGGCCTTAATGAAAGAAGAAGGGGTGAAACTTCTAAGAGAAGCAGTGGCAATTTACATCAGCACCCTCAAAACAGGTATCCCTTGGGTAGTTACGTGTGCCCGGGAGGCCGCCTTCCACCTCTGAGGCTCTGCTGAAGGGGCGTGGCAGGCCTTTTTTGCCGAGTGGGTAAAGGCTTTGGAGATGGTTATTTCTCAGAGCCATTCTACAGCTCTGAGCAAGGGACAGAACTAGAGCTGGGCTGTCTAATATGTTAGATGTTGAGCACTTGAAATGTGACCTGTTCAAATTAAGGTATGTAGTGAATGAATGGGAAAGTGTGGATTTGGGACATCTACTTTAAAAAAATCCCTGGATGCTACCAGGTCTTAACACCAAAAATGGCGTATGTCCATCCACCACATAGTGCCTTGAAAGAAAGACCTGGTGACTGGGTCCAAAGAACGCAGCCACTGAAAACCCTCCAGAGCACCGTTTCACAGAGTGGCTTTAGGGAGTTAGCACTGCTATCGGGGAAGATCATGCTAATGTAAATGGGGAGAAAGAAATAAGAGTATGAAATGTATCTTTTAAGACAATTGAAGGGTTTTTTTTTTATTTGTTAGGTTTAATGTGTTAATTTCACTTGTCTTTTTAACATGGTTACTAGATATTGTTAAGTTACATTTGAAGATCACTTTCATTTCCCCTGGACAGCGCTGATTAGAGACTTGGCTTCCCTGCACTCGTTACTTGAGTCTAGGCCTGAACTTCCCTTTCAAATGCCTCCGCCAGGGGTACTCAGACTGCCAGAGTAGTGGTCAGTTCAGCTGTCCCTTGGGTGTCCAGTTCTGCCTGTTCTGATCTTGAAATCAGCATTCATGTCATGACGATCAAAAGGAACCAGTTTAGAAGAGAATGGCATCTGAAGGAGACTAGTGGTCCAGTGGTTCTGCAGAGGGAAGGCTGAATGGGGCCAAGTGCACGTAGGCCAGAGGCTCGCGACTCTAAGTCATAGCAAGGCCACCACTTCCCTAGGGACCCCCATAATGTTGTGATTAGGTCTTGAGCTGTAAAACAGTCCCAGTGAAATCCAGTGAAACCTGTGAGAGCTGAAAATCAACAGGACCTCATCGTTTTCTCAGTCTTGCAAGTTTCCTGCCTTCAGTGGGCTGCACTTGACACTTTTTTTGCTGTTTGTTGGCAAATACTTGAGATTTTTTTTTCTCTGACAGGTTCTAGCATTCACAGGCTTTATCTGTGCATTCTGTAGTGTACAGTCAGACACCTTCTGACACAGACTAAAGGTGTAAAAGAGAATCTTCTTTTCCTGATCATTCACTCATTCTGGGTTCAGTTTACTTGTGTTTGTTACGTTGTAATGGTGCCCCAAATGTCACCTGCTAAGAAATAACTTCCGGGAGCTGGGGATTTATCTTTTCAGAATTCACCCAGGGCATGATCTTGCCCACGATGAATGGAGAAACAGTAGATGCCACCAGGCAGCCGGCGCTGAAAGCTGAGGAGCGGAAGGTAACTAATGGTGTTCCTTGATGAGGCAGGAGGCTGCCTAAAAAGAGACACTTCCTCCTCTTTATTCAGCATCTCACTCCTAACCCTTAACAGCCTGTGATCCGCTCATGACTCCTTTTAACAAGGCCTCACTACATAGTTACCTGCAGATTTTTACCTCGTTTATCGTCACTTAAAACTAATTCTCTAAGGGAGCTCTGGTGGCCTAGTGGCAGGAAGCTGCCCTGCAATCCCAGAGGTGCACGGTTCAAATCCACCAGATGCTCTGCTGGAGAAGGAGGGACAATCTCCTCCTGTACCGATCAGATCTGATTTGATGGTACATACAACAAAAATAATAAAATTAAAAAACAAACGAACAAACAACTGATTCCCTAGAACAATCAGAACCAATCAGTCTGGCTCCAATTTAGAGGTTCTGACCACAGGGTAAATATTTGAAGGATTATTTTTAACTGGGGTGTTCATCTTTCGTAGTTTGACATTAGAAGTCAAGAATTAAGCCACTGGCTTCGTCCTTCAGGAAATTGATAGATCTCCCCCTGTATCTGGCAGGGTGAGCACATATTTTATCTGAATGGAGCTTGTGTGGTCCAGGTCCCAGCACTTGGTTTTGAAGCTGTTGCCCTTGGTCAGCGCAGGAAAGGATGGAAATGGGAGGAGGAGGAGGCGGAGGGGGGTCCCTCCAGGTACACTCAGTGCAGGAACTGGCTAGAGAGAGAGTGAACTCTTCACAAGTGCCTGATGGATGGTTTGACAGGTCTTCTGACAAGCTTGCAAAGGCATACCTGTCTACTTTCTAGAGTAATGTTTTTCAGTGGTGATTGTGATTCTTCTAGAAGTGTTTCCCTTACAATTGAAAACACCTACATGCAGCTTCTCCCTAAGACCCCTGAAATAATTAGCCTTGCAGGAGAAAAGATTCTTGTATATGAATGGGCCCAGAAGCTGTGTGGATTGACTGCGTTGATTTCACCATTTACTCATCACTGACAGTTTTCACTGCCTCTTCCACAGGCTAGTAAGTCCACTGCTTCGAAAACCCAGGCCAAGCCTGTTGGTGTCAGAATCCCCACTTGTAAGATTGCTCTTAAGGAAACCTTCCTCACGTCACCGGAGGAGCTCTATAGAGTGTTTACCACACAGGAGGTGAGCACAGTCTTGATCTTTACGTTTCATGCCGTTTGTCATTCCTGACGACGTGGTTTGTGGGCACATCACAGTATGCACAAACACCACGTACGACTGGACCCATCATGCTTTGTTCAGAGGATCTAAGTGGGTCTTTCCATTTTGTCGATTTTCACTGTTCACTGCTGAAGTCTTAGGAAAGCAAATGGCTTCACAGAAATGGCACCATGGATTCTTCAGAAAGAATTGTCATTGTTGGGGGCTGTCAGGTTGATCTGAACTCCTAATGACAATTGTTCTGTTTGCACGACAGAATAAAATGTTGTTCTGACACCACCCTCACAGTTGTTGCTGTGCATGAGCCCAGTGGCGCAGCCGCTGTTGTCATCCCACCTCACTGGGGGGCTTTCTCTTCTAAGCTTCTGTTCCACCACATGTAGAGTTCTCCAGGAACTGGTCTGTCTTGATGATATATCCAAAGTGCATGAGACAGAGTCCTGCCAGCCTTGCTCCTTCCTAGAGACATTTGTTCAGGCTTTTGTCATCTGCTGGGATTGTCACTATTCTTCCCTGACACTCTAATTCAAAGACATCACATCTTCAGGCTTCCTTAGTCATTATCCAGCTTTCAGAAGCATATCGGGCAGCTTAAAATAACGTGACTTAGGGGAGCTCTAGTGGCAGAAACGCTGTACTGCAATCCCAGAGTTATGCTGTTCAAATCCACCAGATGCTCTGCTGGAAAAGGAGGGGCAATCTCCTCCTGTACCAGTCAGATCCAATTTGATGGTATACTCACAGAAATAATAAGATTTTTTAAAAAATTTAAAAAAATAATAATAATGTGACTTGGGAAGGAGGATTGTAGTCCTCAAAAATGACATCTTTGGTTTTTAACACTTCCAAGAGGTCTTTTGCATCCGATATCCAGGGAGAATGGAATGTAGTCAGAACTTGGATTGTAGCTCAGCTGGATAGAGGGAGCTACCCAGGATATGTATGGTCATTGGACAAAGTCATGTCTGTGGCAATGTGAGTAGTGACATGCAAGTTTGAGCTGGTATTTGTCCCTTAGTCTCACTGAGAGCCATGTAAGGAAATGCCCATGACCAGGCTTAGAACTTTATGGTAGCCATGAAAGAAGCCATCCCAGATTTGGGGGCTCTGGGAAGCAAAGACACCATCCTTGGCCCTCACTATGTGCCAGATGTCTGCGAGAGCTCAAAACAGCTGAGGCAAAGGCAGGCTGGGGAGAAATCTGAAATACAGAGAGCTGGTCTGGATCTTTCATTCTTTGCTGGAATTGAATTCTTTTGGTTCCAGCTCTTTGATTTTCTCCCTGCCTCCTTTTTCTCCTCTATAGCTGGTCCAGGCCTTCACCCATGCACCTGCAATGTTAGAAGCAGACAAAGGTGGGAAGTTCCACATGGTTGATGGCAATGTTACTGGGGAGTTCACTGACCTGGTGAGTATCCGGGGGCTCCAGATTATAGCGTCTTCCTAGGCAGGAAAGTGGTGTATCCTTTACCACAAGTCTGTAGGTAAAATTGGAAGTTCTGATCTCTGATATTGTTGCCGTTGAGTTGGGACTCATCCGTCCAGTGTAAATTGCGCGGGAGGAGATTGCCCAGCTGAGCAGCTGATAGAATCAGAGTGTGCTACTCCTTACCCAGTAGGCCCCAAGATGTCAGTCCTTGACTCTCTCTGGTCAATAAAAATATGTTTTTCCCAGCGAATTCTGCTATTTGAATTATCTCACCTTTCTAGAATTGTGTCCTGACTTGTGTAAAGTTCTTCCTGGAGAAATCGAACTGGGAAGAGAGGGTCTGTGCATGGGTGGATGTGGCACTAAAATTTCCCCTGGGCATGCTGGCTGAGTTGATTAAAGAGTAAGAGGAGAAGCAGCTTTAATACGTGCCCAGAAGCGACCAGCTCTGTGGCCCTTTTGTGTTTGTCAGCGTAGTGTAACTGCAGATGCTCGACTCGAATTTCTCACTGCCTTTCCTACTAGCCTTTGAGTTATATTATAATCTGACTTCTCTGACTTTAGGTCCCGGAGAAACACATTGCAATGAAGTGGAGGTTTAAATCTTGGCCAGAGGGTAAGTAAGCATATTTGTTTCTTGTCGTTACTCCGGGCTGGGGGATTCTTTACTAAGCAAGGCCAGCCAGCACAGGCTCCTTCCCACGGTGCAGTTTCACCTGCTGGTCACTACCGATTAGTAAGCATAAGTAAGCGTGTGCTTGCCCTCCTGACTAACTCCTTATCCCTGTCCCTGCCGGTGATAGTAAATTTGAAAAGTGGCTTTGGTTCTAAAAGTGGCTGTGGGAGAGGGAGAGACATCACCCACATCTAGAAGTAGGGTGTGATAGGGGATAAAAGTGGGGAACAACAGTCTTCACCACAAATCAGTAAATAAGCACACGAAGCCTCGTGTTTATATGATAATCTAGCATTGCCGTTGCCCCGCAGATGTTATGCTTTCCCCTTAGTCTTGAACCCTTGGCCCATAAGAGGCAAGTGGAGTAAGTGAGCCGAGAGGGTGGGAGCTGACATGACAGTGAGATCCCCAGAAAACACCTTCCCTCTGGCTTTTCCCAGGGCACTTCGCCACCATCACCTTGTCTTTCACTGATAAGAACGGAGAGACTGAGCTGTGCATGGAAGGGCGTGGCATCCCAGCTCCTGAGGAAGAGCGGACGCGGCAGGGCTGGCAGCGGTACTACTTTGAGGGCATCAAACAGACCTTTGGCTATGGTGCACGCTTGTTTTAGGGTCTGCAGCTAGGAGGCTGCATGCAGCCTGCTTGATACTTCGGTCCAGCCCCCTGCTGACTGGGGTTTGTGACTGACAGGATTTCACCATCCCAACCACTAACTTGGGGCCGGGGCCCCCTCCCCTCCACATATCCCTTGGGTTTGTGCATGGTTTTTGCTGGGTGGGATCAGAGGGCAACTTCTCTTTTATGTGTACATACGCTAAATAAACTTAATTTAAAAAACGTGCTTATCTGGAGGTTGTATTGATGTGAGGGGCTGGTCTTAAGAGTTCTGGTTAACACTTGTATTTAAAAGCAAAACTAGGAGGAGTTGGAAGACCACCTCCATTCTCAGTTAAAAGAAGCTAAACTACAGGCAAGCATCACGACCCAACATTCAAAGAGGCCTCCTTATACACTGCAGTCTGGGGAGAATGTTCTCCTCCCCTCACTGACAAGAACTCGGATGTGGGATACACGGTGCCAACAATTTTCTGGTAGAGACCGCATCCTGGTCATTAACTTTGTGGCCATGTGTTCTTTGCTAGAATAATTAACCATCATGTGCTGATGAAAAATAGGGAAAGAGATCTCCTCAGGTGATAGGAAAAACCCAGGCCTCCTTTTACTGAACAGTTACTTTGTACCACAGTGTTAGTGCCGTTAATTCAGCTGCGACACAGGCCGCCCTGTGAACAGCAGATATCTGAACGTTGCCCTACCCTGCATTAACTCCATGGTTTCTGATAATGTCTGAGACCCTTACTACATGTGTAGTCATGTGTCATCCGTCTTGTTCAGGGTCTTCCCCTTTTTCTCTGTCCACCTTTCCCGGTTTGATGTCCTTTTCCAATGACTGGCCCCTCCTATCAGCATGCCTGAAGTTTGTGAGATAAAGTTTGCCTCCGAGGAGCACTCGACTTGCACTTTGTGAAGACAGATTTGTTTGTTCTTTCAGTAGTTCATGGGCATCAATTCTGTCATCCTACTCAGCTTTCGGTTCCATAGGAAACAATTGAAAAATCCCATCATGTTTGGATCATAGTTTGCATCACCATCCCTTAGAGATGGTAAACTGACATTGCTCTTAAGCATTTTGGAAATGTCCTGGACAAATTTTCCCAGTGTAGTATGTCTTTTATTACTACTATCCATATGCATATGAGGAAGAACTGAACTGTTAAACTTTTCAAATAGTAGCACCAACATCTAAAGCAAAAAATGAAATTGGTCTGCAGTCTGCAAAAATCTACCAACTTTTGCAATCTGAAATTGACAGACTGTGCTATCTAGATGCATTAGTAATACTTGGTGATTGGAATGTAAAAGTTGGAAACAAGGGTTGCTAAAAAATACAGTGTTGGTGACAGATATGAAGCCAGAGATCTAAGGATTGAATTTTGTACAATGACTTAGACATCACAAATACCTTTAAAAAAAACAACCACCAAACCCAGTGACTACATATGTAAATAGAAGATCAAAGAATATAGTCTTCAATATGGATTGCATCTCAATTTGAAGAAAACAGATTCTTAGCACTGGACTGCGATAGCACTGTGGTAGATGGAGAAAAGGCTGAAACTGTCAACAACATCTTACTTGGATCCAATTAACACCCTGGGTAGCAGCAGTTAGGAGTTCAGGAGATGTAGTGCACTGGGAAACAAACAGTATGTCTTGGAAAGGGTGAAATCAGAGTGCTCTTTGGAGGTGCAAATGATGAGGCTTTGCCTCACATACTTGGGGCATGTTGCTGGAAGGGCCTATTGGAGAAAGACATGATGCTGGGAAGGGTGGAGGGTCAGCGAAGAAGAGGAAGACCCTGTGGAGGGTCAGCGAAGAAGAGGAAGACCCTCAACCAGGTTGATTGACACGATGATTGCAGCAATAGGCTCTTGTGTGTCAGGAAGTGTGAGGATGGCGCAACACAGGACTGGGTTCAGACCTTTTGTTCGTAGGGTCATTGAGTCTTACTCAACTCAGTGGCACCTAACAACAGTATCTCAGCTCTAACAGTATTTAGCAGAATGGGTTGTAGAATGCAGACTCTGATTACAGAGACCAGAAGTCTAAACTTATTTCACTGGCTGCCCCATCAGTGTGTTCATGCAACAGAGAGGCTGCTGTATTGGATGCTCCTGATGGAGTAGAGACTTCCAGGCTCCTTAGTAGCCCTACAAAGAGGAAGATATAAATTGTCCTTGTTTAAATACCTGGTTCTATGACATTTACTGAACTCTGACTATGTCTGCCAAGCACTGGGAAGATATTCTCATGAGGTTCAGATAAACTGCCTCTCTGAGAAGAGTTTACATGGCAGCAAAGAGACCTGCTTTCCCGGACAAACTCCACCCTGGCTTCCTGCACCCTAGCATGAGTCAGTTCCTTCTAATCCAGACTCTACCTCCTGCAGTTACAGTTATTTCCTTGATCTATTTTTGCCTGTTTTATTAGGTGGCGGCAAGGCCTGCAGGCTAATCCTACCAAGACATGGGTAAAACTTTGTAGCTAAAGTAAAGCAGAAAATCAGGATTGATCGGGATCACTTCAGCTCCTGACAGCTATCTTTGGATTGTGCTGCTCGAACATGTGGTACACAGAGCTTAGATCTGCTTTGCTGTGGACATGCCTTGAAGGAATCCAAACCTTTTGATAAGGAAACGGGGCCCAATCCTGAATCTCCCAACATAGACTCCTGCACAGCCCAGAGACAACTAAACAGGGCCCTTTCCACTCCAAGCTGCAAGGTTTCCAGCTCCGGAATTGGGAAAACATCTAAGTAGAGATGACAAATATCCTCCTAAAACCCAACACATAAAAGAATTTATGCATTTAAATTGTGGTTTTGGTGAAGGATACACTGAACCACCAAAAGAATGAACAAATCATTTATAGAAAAAAAATCCAACTAGAGGTAAGGATGATGAGATTTTAGGTCTTTATTTTTGTTGTTAGGTGCTCTTGAGTCAAGTGCAACTCACAGCGACCCTATCTATATACAACAGATCTGAGCCTTGACCTGTATTGTCCTCACCGTCTCTGACACACTCGAGCCCATTGCTACAGTCATTGTGTCAATCCATCTGGTTAAGGGTCTTCGTCTTGTTCACCAGCCCTCCACATTTCCAAGCATGATGTCTCTCCAAGGAATAGCCTCTCCTAATAACATGCCCTAAGGTAAGTAAGACAAAGCTTTGTTTTCTTTGCCTCCAAGGAGCTTTCTGGCTGCACTTTGTCCAAGACATATCTGTTCTTTTGGCAATCCATGGGATATTCATTACTCTTCTCTGACACTAGACATCAAAGGCATCAATTCTTCAGTCATCCTTATTTACTGACAACTTTCAGATGCATAGCCAGTTAATGAAAAGATTGTGGCCTGAATCAGGGGCACCTTACTCTTCAAACTAGTATCATTGCTCCTCAATAATTTGGAGAGTAAGACTGTAGATTTTCCCAATGCAGTACACCTCTTGATATCATAACTGCTGGGTGTTGATTATGGATCCAAGTAAGATGAAGCTGTCAACAGTTTCAATCTTCTCTCCATCTATCATGATACTGCCTATTGGTCGAGAGGTGAGAATTTTTGTTTTACTGACATTGAAATGCAATCCATATTGAAGGGTGAGTTCTGCAGCAAGCACTTCAAATCCTCACTTTCAGCAAGTAAAGATGTGTCATCTGCATAATGAAAGTTATTGAATGGTTATCTTCCTCCAGTCCTGATGCCATAATCTTCAAACAGTCCAGGTTCTCCAGTAATCTGCTCATGATACAGACTGACTAGATACGGAGAGAGGATACAAGCCTGACACACACCTTTTTCATTTTAAACCATGTAGCGTTCCCTTGCTCAATTAAGTGTCCTAGGATTTCCTTTCTCAATGTTTGTCATAATTTGTTATGATCCACAACGTGAAATGCCTTTGCATAGCCAATAAAGCACAAATTCTTTTGGTATTCTTTACCTTCTATCAGGATCCGTCTGACTTTAGCAATGATAACCCTGGTTTCATGGCCGCTTCTAAATCCAGCTTGAACTTCTGGCAGTTTCAGATCTATGTACCTCTAGCCATTTTTAAATGAGCTTCAGCAGTATTTTGTTTGCATATGATATTAATGATACTGTTCAGTAATCTCTACATTCTTTTGGATCACCTTTCTTGGGAATGGGAACAAATATGGATTTCTTCCAGTCAGTTGACCAAACAGCTGTCCACCAAATTTCCTGGTATAAATTGATGAGCATGTCCAGGGCTTCATCCATTAGTAGAAACATGTCAATTGATATCCCATCGATTCTTGGAGCCTTATTTTTTGTCAATGCCTGCAGTGCAGCTTGAAAGTCTGCCTTCATTACCATACAGTAATATCCTAAAATATTTCAGTGTCAGCCAATTCTTTTTGGTATAGTGATTCCGAACTCGCTCAGCATTTCTTAAGGTCAAGGAACTGAAGAACAAATTCAAACCTTGAGTTGCTA